TCTCTCTACGCTTCCCTACCCACTACTGGCGGTCATTCCTCAAACTCTTGATGAGCTTGCGTTTTTAGGGATTTGCGCGCTTTATCGTATCTTGAATTCGAAGGAATGGTTTTTCCAGCGTCCAGCAAAGCAACCGAGGTCGGGAAGATCCATCGTTTTTTATTTGATCGTATGTCAGAATCTGCCGTTGTTTTGAATGACAGTTTGATCGCTCCCCCGATTACTGTCCAGCGTTCACTGACTGCTTCAACTGGTGGTTGAGCTGAGAGGTGATCAGAAAGTTCCGCTTCAAAGGCCGATTTGGAACCGTTGTTAATAATGTATTTTGGGCATCCGTTTTCGGTGGCTTTTCTGCAATTGTTTAGTAGGCGTAGGGAGAATCTCGCTCATAGCAGAGCATGGTTCGTGTCCACAGGTGTTGACCAGTAGGAGCGGCAGTCTTCAATGGATCCTCACCAGCGGTGGTTGATTGCGCGTGGTTGGCGATCTCCATGTAAGGTGGTGTCGTTTCTTATGCGAGAAGTTAGTGCTTGACAGAAACAAGCTGTGGTCAGCGCAAAGTTGGCTTAGGCATTCTTCGTTGTCAGTCTGGTTAGCTGGGATTGTATGTGAACCACTAAGTAACCTTTCTGATTCGTCCAGAGATCCCACTTGAGCATTGAGATCCCCAAGGACCACCACTATGTCCGTTGATCGAGCACTTTGAAGCAGTTGAGAGAGGTCCTTGAAGAATTCATCCTTTATCTCAAGCGAACATTTTATTGGTCGTTTCATACGAGGAGTAAGCATTGATTCTTCTTTCTGTAGCTGTTGATCCGTACTGAACCATCCAGACGTACAGCGCAAAATCGGCTACTAACCGCCATCCAGTCGAGGAGTGAACGCTCGGCCTTGACACTTAGCGCAGTCCCAACACCAGCAACGCTACGAGCTTTGGATGCCGAATCGCCTGACACACGGAGAGTGAAGCGTGAGGATGAGGTTGAATCTGGAGAACGCAAAAAGATGATTATTCAATTCAGGTCTTTTATGCGTATTTCGGAGACACAGCATGCATCTAAATGGAAGGTTTTAAGGGTTTTAGCTGAGGCGGCTTGGTAACCAATCTGGCAGGGTGTGCGGAAATTAAATGCGGCTAGGTGAAAAATGAGATTTTGGTTTCAAAAATCTGATAGCCTCTGAGTTGTTGGCCTCATTAGTTGAACGCTGAGTGATATCCCATGGGTGGCGCAAACAGGATGCATTTCCTAAGGTTTGGGAGTGAGAAGAGGGAGTGGACGGTTGAGAAAAATGGTTTTCCATATGGGTACCTAAGACTTAAGAGCACTGCATACTTCGCGGTTGCCCACACCGACCAAGGGGTTTTTCTTTGGGAGCCTTCGACTCAAAAGTCTGACCCACGAGGCAGTGGGGTGTAAATCCAACGCGGGAGCGTGAATGAAGCACCCGTGTGGAAACCTTTCACACAAGGCCTTGGAATTTCGGTTAAGTGTGTTAGTCGCTATTGCGTTGATTATCGGTCCGCTTTTCGGGATCGGCTCTTAGCCTCATGCACCCACAGAGACAAGCGGAACGTGGACGGGACAGTACCTTATTGGCTGGGGACTGCCGAGCTTTGGCGGGCGGTAGCTTTCCAATGAAGTGCAAAGACTTCTCCCACCCTCTAGAGGAATCCCACAGATAGCCCGCTCCTACGTCAATCTNCCTCACCTTGTTTATTTGCTGGAGTGACCTCTTCAGGGACGGAAATGGATACTCGAGGGAAGCCAGGAGGTGCCCAAGCAGCTGGTTTTGCGAAACTGAGCTTTGTCTGGACTCTACCCATTAACCTTTCAGGCATGATTGGATCTCCGGCTGTGTGGTGCCGTTCTGTATAGCTCGCAGGGTCATGGAGGCAAGCAAGCCATCACACCACGTCAGGGTGCACTCGTCGTGACGGAGCCCTGGACAGGACTAAATGGTAGATCGTCGCGTCGATGAAGTTTACGTCTTCTACCTCCCGCGATAATAATGTCCAATGCCTTGAGGTGCGAGTAAAAATGCGGTGTTCCGCAGTTGTTCATCCTAAAGCACATGCAGCTTCTCTAATGTTTTATCTACACGAGATTGCGGCAATGACAACGTACAATAACCACGCCTTTGATGGCTGTTTTGTTTTGCCTACTTTTGCGTACTTCACGGTTAATTCATTATTTGATTTATTCCAAACCCCAATCTTTTGTACAAACATTTCGACTCAGCTCGAAAAGTTAAACATAAAGTACCGGTGCTTAGTTCTTCTGGAAGAGTCACAGACAATACAATTGAAGCCTCTGAAATGCTGAAGAACCAGTATGCCCAAGTTTTTTCTGCGTTAACTAATGAAGAACTGTACCTCCCTCGCTGGATGCATTATATTCCAATTCCACAACCAGCGTATTATTCACGACCGAAAAGACGAAAGCAAAGCGATTGGCTTTGAGAAAGAATCCATCGCCAGGTGCAATCAATATCCACCCCCAAACTCTTACCTGCTTGACAAATCAAATATCCGAGCCACTAACCTTATTCCAGAGGTCTTTCGATCACACTGCAATCCCACCGTCGTGGAAGCAGGGAGTAATTTCGCGCATTTACAAAGACGGTTACCGTAGCGATACCGCTAACTACCGCCCTGTAACCCTCCTTTCAGTGTTGTCCAAAGTCATGAAGTCTATAGTAGCAGATTTCGTAATGGAACGCCTAGAGAAGCATAACGTTCTGTCACCGAATCAATATGGATTCCAACAGAAGCGATACTAGTTACCAATTTTCTCATTACACGAGAAGAATAGACACAAGCAGTGGATGACGGCGATGCGGTAAACGTTATTTATCTGGACTTCTCAAAAGTGTTCAATCGGGTGAACCACGACATTCCACTGCAGAAGCTCTATAATCATGTTATTCGGGGCCTCAAGCTCGGTTGGATCGAAGCATTTCTCCGACATCGGACCGTATCGGTTCGTGTTTCTGATTTTCTTTCCAGTCCTACGGACGTTACCCTTGGGGTTCCCAAAGGATCTGTGCTTGGCCCACGACTTTGTCCTAACATTCATAAACATTCATTCATAATCATTAATGTTTGCAGATGACGCCAAAGTTTAGAATACAGTAGCGCGACCAGCGTGCTCGCCGGCACTCCAGGAAACACTGAAAGCAGTTAGTCTCTGGTCTCTTATGAACGGCATTGAATTCAATGTGCCAAAGCGTAAGGTTCTATCTCTAAGACATATGGGGCGATTTTCCTATTTCCTCGGAACTCAGAGTACGGCATCCAGGTATGGAATCCATTGCTACACCGTGATTGCAAAATGCTGGAGCTTCCACGAAGGATGAGCACCAAAGTGGTTCGGGGGTTGAATCGGTATTCATACGCAGAGAGATCGAAGTCGCTGGGGTTATATTCCAATCACTACCGGCGCATCAGAGGAGACATGATTATGGTATACCAAATAATGCAAAACCCAAGCCATCCGTGTCGCCCGCTGCTAAAATTATCACCCAGCGTTCATCTTAGAGGACACCCGTTCAAACTAGTGGTCTCAGAATGCTAATGGGAATGCCGGTCTCAGTTAGATTATGCTCGATCTGGAACTCTCTCCCAACCTAAGTCGTCTGTGCACCAAGCATTGAATCTTTGAGACTGAGACTCGATGAAACATTCGCACACCTTACATTCCAACATAAGTGAAGCTGCATGCAGCAGTGGAAAAATCCCGTATCATGTGCCATTTTACACAAGGAATTGTATGAATCGCACGAACTTGTAAGTTATTCCCGTAATAAATCTTTGATCTTTGACGATCTGAGGTCGCTTATGCAGTAGATTAACAGGTCAATCGGTAATAATATCGAGTTATTTGATTTATTGAAACAAGTTTCACTGTATTGGAACAATACAGTTTAATGTGATGATTGGTTGATTCTCGCGTATGTCACCGCTGTATACTGCTCATCTTCACCTCCAGAAAATTCTTCCCGCGACTGAGGTACTGGATTATGTCATCACCGTTATGGAAGAATCCAAGGACGACACACACGAAGCCAGTCTACCAATCGGTCTGCACAATACTACATCTAGTACTGCATCTAGTCCAATCGAATCTGATCCACCTGCGGTACAAGAATTAGCTTTGAACGTAAGCGTTTATGTACTGAACTGCTTTTCATGTTGAGTATGCATTTATCTCCTCAATCAGCATGTTCAGTCAATACTTTTTTGATAAATGTCCGTCATCAACATGTTCGCCGAATTGTTTTTGAACTCCATGGTGTATGTGTGTCTATGTGCGTGGAAAAGCAAAAAGAGCTCTCATTGTATCCACGTGTTTGTTGGTTTCAGGCAGTTACCAAAGGGACATGTACGCGGTAATGATAAACGTCTCGTCATCGGAGAAGAATATGTTAAAACAAGTTTGTGGATAATGGTTATGTAATCGTTCGATTTTTGTCAACTTTTGAGCTTTGGTGTCGAAGTGAAGTATGTTCATACTTTCCACAGTCGGTGAATGTTCGTTGTTTGTAGTTCCCCTAAGTATTCGACTGGGCGAACCGGCAATCACGGTTGCGTAAGCTTAACGATTGGCACGATCAAGGTTTCACGCTTCTTTCCTCATCTCAATTCACGTTTCTTATACACTGCTCGGTCTTATCGACTGGCCGCGTGGTTCCACAGGATCTGCGCTTGAGTCTGGACCTTGCCTCATATCCATGTTTGATCTATCAGATGTTCTGGAACTCCACCGACCCACGTCTGGTGAAGTGATGATACGTTTCACGCTTGAAATCAAGGGACGCTACTTAAGCAGTCGAATGAGGTTACTTCATATGGAGTATTTTCCTTGGTGCTGTATCCGACATTACTCACTTCGATCATGATGCGATCCAACTGTGGATAGACTATAAATACTTAACCACTTGGTAGCGGATCAGTCCATTTCACTTTACTTGTACGTCGTTAGACAATCAGCGTGTTGCAGGGCACTGGTCTCGCACACCTTGGCAACTTTCGGTGAAGAGTGAAGACCTCAAGTGCAGTATAACTGTTGAAATTTGTTTTGTACATCCAGTGTGTGCTCATCACACAGAATCAAGTGTAGATGAGGCTGTTTTGTTCCTTCGGATTTGTTTTCCTGTTTCCAACCTCTAATTCATCATGCGATCAAACCTCCATTCCCTCTCTACCGTTATTATCACCGGCTTTTACCTTCGCCGTCTATCGATCTGGTGTCCGTAATAGTTGGAGTTATCTGCGAGTGTCGTTCCCTCCCACTAGGTGGCTCTAAAAGTTTGCCGGACTACTGCGTTCTGATCTCTCTTTTGCAGGAACCGCGGCACTCCGGAACACCTTCACTTTGTTTTCCCCCATATCTTATAGCTTTGTCGTCTTCCTGCACTATACGGCCTAGTTGTTCGATCTCTTTCACTTTATCTCCATTGTCAAATAGTCATGATGCTCATGGCGTTTAGTCCTTTGATGTGCATCATGTTTGCCCTATGATAAAATCACCTATACTACTATCTTTCGTGTAACAACGGGGTTCTGAGCAAAACTGTTGCTCTCTGCCAATCTATCACCGAATCTTGTTCGATTGCAGTTGCAGTTATTGGACGCACCAGAAACGTGCTGTGAATAATGGAGAAGCGTGCTTTGTGTATAGGGTTGCGCACAGCTTAGGTTTTTCGCGAATTGAAAAAACGACTGGTGAAGCGAATAAACCAATCAGATTACAGTATTCCCTCCGTTACTCTAGTTTCCACAAATCCTGTAGCAACCAGAAAACAGCCAACTTCCCACGGCAAATCTATTTCCTCTTGATGCAATCAATAACATCATCATCAGTCGGAAAAGTTAACTTTGCTGATCACTGGTATGGTGGTGAAACGTTCGCAAACAAATTGCCAACCTCGGTGATCAAGCGGAATGGAATTTTTTCATATCCTTGATCCGAAGCGGATAAGAACTCGTGTTCTCAAGTTCGACTTAACGCTTTCACCCACTGTCAAGATAACGTGTAACCAGAAGCAAGCGATTCCCTTAACTAGCTTGGCATTGAGAAATCAAACTGTACATTTAGTTTCTACTACCTTTGGTTTCATATGGGATTTCGAAGGGTTTATTTCAGTTCAAGCTGAGCTAATTGTTTTTATGGATGTTTCGTTTCGATTTTTTTATCTCTCTCTCTCGTTACCTATTTAGATTTTGTGTTGCGTGTTGGATGGATCGTCAAGCATTGCTTCTCAGGGTTTGGCGAATGGCACATCGTCCGACACAGATGGTACACGGGATCCCCGTATCAATCCGCCTATCATGGGTACTGAGGCACATTTTGCCGGTTCCGAATCACATTTGCTTCTGCGTTCTGATCAGTTATTGCCGTTACTGTGCGACTTTTGCTGTCACGGCCTAACTGTAAAATGCCCACCAGTGCCCGTGCCAGGAACTAATCAAAACACCCCGTCGAACCCGAATGGTGATTCCACCTCGAATGCAACTCGAGCGGCTAAAAGTGAGTGGTGGTTGCCACGTTCAGTTCTGCAGGCCTATTGATGAGGATAATCTGGATCTATATTACTCTATTTAAAACGATATGCTTAAATATAATCAGAAGCAAGCAGCTGATGACCTACGTTGGATTTTTACTGACACAACAGCAGATACACTCAATTGGAAAAATCTCATGTACCAAACGCATAGGAATGTCCAGGAACCATTAAACTTCGGTCTGCCTTGTCAACTCTGGTTTTTTTAACTTGAGAATATTGTAAGTGGTCAGAGTGTTCCACTATTCCGTGTTTCTTGAAAAACACCAATAATTGGATAGTCACTTAGTATATGCGACTTGTCGCTTGTACAAGAACTGTGAACGCGAGCAGTTGAGACAGTTACGGAAGAGGCAAGTTCTGTTAAAATTAACTCAGAGTAGTAGTAGCAAAACAGATAACGAGCCAACTGCTCAGAGGTTAGCTACTAGACGGAAGTGAAGTATTAGGGGCGGGCCGTTGAGGTGAATGACCTCATGTTCAATCCTATCAACAGAAATAGCAGAGAAGTAAATGTAGTTCCAGTCCATACACAACTTCATTATTCAAATATAAGATGAATTAGTTCTTTTTATCTGGGGTTGAGAGATGAGTGGAAATGAAGAAACGTCTGGTTCAAAGAACAGTGTAGATCTTTCACAAAACATCATAGGTAGTCATACAAAGAAGATGAAGATGGTCTTAAGAAGGTATCTAAATCTATGAAACGGAGAACGTTTGAGTCAAAATCTATTACAGAATACTCTCCACTAATATGTAGCTAAAAGGTCTGAACTTCAATCGATCAATGCCACTATTAAATGATAGTGCTCAGGTTTACCACTAAAACCCCTGAACCAGAGCTTAGACTGCTGAACTTCAGTTTTGAACAATTGTTCCTCTTGGCTGCAAGTTTTATTTCCTTTACTTTTCGCATTACTAAGTGGTGATGAAATAACTCATAATTTGTTGTTCTGATAAACATAAACCGGGAGTTTTTATCCGATCTTATTACAGTCCTATTCCCGATACAATCAATCTCCTAATGAACCGCACACATAAGATGGCGCATTTTTCCAATACGTTCCCACTTTTTAACAAACCCAAACAAACCGTGTGTCCAGTGATGTATGCCCTGACTGTGTGATGTCCCTTCCCTCGGTATGTCTCACTACCTGCTACTTTCTCACCGAGTCTAATACTGATGCATGGCTTGACGAGTGACCAACCCACATGCAATGTCGCATGCAGAAAATGACGTCTTAGCGACTGTGAAAACACATATGCCGTCGAACACTAGGTGACAGGTGAATGATAATCGCGATTGACCTTGCTGGTAAACCTGGGTATGGTGCCGATAAGCTTTGTCACTCCACTGGAGAAAGCTACATGGAGGCCAACGGATGATGTGAAGAAATGCATACAGCGCTTAGGTATGGTAGATATCAATCGTTTTCCAGGCTGGGACCCAAAAGACTAACCGCACGGTTGGAGTCACTGAAGGTCATGGCAGTAAACCGACAGCAATGGCGATCATGTCACTTCTTATCATGCCAGAATGCTTGAAATAGTATTTATGCCCGGTTGGACCATGCTCTCTTGGTGTTGATAATAGAGGTTCGCTTTCTTTTCCCGCCCCTAAAAATAAACCCGATCCGTCTTTCTTACATAGTCTCACTTACCTTGTTATAAGTTTGGTAACGATCAGTGAAGTTCGCTTTCCTGTATCACGCTGTACAATAATGATGATATCCATAGCCCCGTGAACTATGGAATTTTGGAATTGTGGATAGGAAGACCGTATCTACTGTGCACATCCATTGAGAGAGATATCTCACTTTAACGTACTGCCTCTCGAACGCGGTTTTTCTAATGAATTCGATGTGGCAATGGTCAAGTGTGTACCGTCTAGCCTAAATCTTCAGCTGTACCTTATTTTTTGATGCAGTTTTTTTCAACACTATCCTAGACCCACAAAAAGTGGCCATGATAAGTTATGAATTGATACTATCAACCTGTGGCTCAGTGTAGTGAAGCTGAAACTGCATACGACTGTGTTTTGTTCCAATTTTTCGCATAAAACCGTTTTCCTGTAGATTGCAAAACCAGTCAAATGTTCTAATGCATGCGAATGGAAAGAAATTCTACCTTTAAAATTCAACGATCTGGTCCGAAAAGTTTCAACAAGTAAAGGCAAGCAGTCTCAGGGTAAAAAAACGCGTTCAANAATTTCCAATTCCGAATATACGGTTATCATGCTAAGCTGGGCACCTTATAAAAGATGTGAACTTTTCAGATACGGAACTACGTGAGATTGTGTATATCTTCTCTTATTTTACCATAGGTGTCCCATGCTGCCTGAGGGCCTGTGCGATTGAGTTTGACATGATATGTGGCAATTCCTGGAATTCATTCATATTTTCTAATCTCTAACTGGTGCATCACAGAAAGACTATGATTTATCGGGAGGTTCTGCATTCTGTCCATGAAAATGAATGTAGGGTGTTCCATCGGTAACTATCTCATCCAATACAACAAATTTTTATCGGATTAGGCCGGCTGCCAGTCACACAGGAAAGGCGGAAAACTATCGTATCTTCTTTCACGTACTCTGCATTAAGTCCTAGTCCTGCTTTTATCAAGTGAATCTAGATTAACATAACAGTTTTCTTGTTTTTAAAGGTGGCAAAATTATCAAAGAAACAGAGAATGTTCTGCAATTTCGTTTGAGTAAACAGTTGAAGCAAACACATCTCATTTAGAGACTTTGCACTCTTCTGTAAGTGGCCTGCGTTTCATGCGGAAGCATTAGGTTCAGTAGCTTCCAAATATAAAAAATCACCGTTATGCTACGAATGGTTCAACGAAACAATAAGATAAAAAATTTTTCCAATCGTGTGTGTGAAAAAATGTTCAAATACACTAGAGATCTGTTTCCTCTTTATTAGAACTCATCGACAATGTCTGCGATTTTTAAAAAGAAAAGACCATATCGTTTTACTGCATGATTTATGTCTGGAACTATATGTACACTTATGTATTTACTTATATTCTTTTGATTGGTTTGACTGACTATCCTTCGGACTTCACCTTCACGCACGATCCTCAGTTCATCGATTCAACCATGCACTCGGAAGCACTAGACCGGAGTTTCGCTCTTATTATAGCTCATCAGAAGTGCATATTCATCGACCCGTCCGTGATTTGAACTCCGGACCCATCGCATGGAAGGCGTGTGCGTTACCACTGCGCCAACCCGCTCATACCATGCCTGAACCAAATTGCCAATCCATGTTTGTTCAGGTGTTGTCTTCAGTGATAGTCATTCATATTTTTTTGTTTCGGGTTTGGGTTTGTACACCGTAGGCGTTTCACCCTTATCAGTCGTTCCCTCTTCAAACTTCTTTTCGTTACAAATCAGATAAAAATGCACCACCAGCCACTGATCAGATAAATCAATCTCCTGCGAACAACCTGCCCGACATGTCGATGTATCGTGCCGGTTTAGCTTGGCGTCGAGAGCGCCGTCGCGCGAAATTATCCGCCAGAGCTTTGATCTGTCTCTACCGGATCGCACATAAATCTTCTAGTCCACGATCAAAGAACCTAAATAAAAATTGTGGATCCGTGGGGCATAAATCGGATGATCTTAGCTCAATGGAAGGTGACGTGGATTTAGATATTGATCCTGAGGAATTTGATGAAACTGAATCACTGTCGGAACCCCGTCCTGCCACTAAATTTTCTTCCCGTGTTCAGCGAGCTCTAGATGAGGTTGTGGAGGTGAGTGACCCGATCATATATGATCTTTATTTTTCTGACTGATGTATTTCGTTATTATTATGTCTATGACTCACAATTTTCCCTGGAAACACGACCGGTTTCGCGGTTCTTGCCGCTCGTCAGGCAAGTATACTGGGTAATCTTTTGTCAGTTCACTTATATACTTGTACCGACGAAGTGTATTTTCGTCACAATAACCTTATTTGTAATGCCGGCGAATTTTGTAAGGATAACTCTTTCGGAGCCAGTCCATTGAAGAATCACTACTGTGAATATATATATTAAGTAAAATTGGCAGATGTGCCACAACATATGAAGAAAGGGATATTAAAATGGTTTAAATGTAAACCAACGATTAAGAGTCTCACAACGGGTGTGCCATTGACGCCGGTTACCAGCCATGTCTGAAAGTGTATCAAACCATAGGTGTTCTCTGTCCTTGAGCCCCCAACCTGGGAGTCTTGAGACCCTACCACTACCAGTTTTGAGGTTAGCGCCTTCATTGTTTGAGCCCAAGTTATTTGTTGTCCACCTTGTCTCCGCTCGCAGTCAGTGTTTGCTTGCGCGAACATAACACGATGGGGTAATCGTTGAGCCGGGATCCGCAACACATGTCCTAGCCATCGAAGTCACTGGAGCGAGATGACGGCACTCAGAAGACGACTTGAATTGTCTGCGGTGAAGATTCTTCGACGAACCTCATCGTTGGTGATTCGCTTTTGCCAACGAATTCCGGCGATGCAACAAAGGCAGCGGTGGTCAAAGACACTTAATCTCCGTACGTCTTCTGCGTGGAGGGGCAAACTCTCACAGTAGTAGAGTAGGACAGAGCGTTCTGTGGCATTGTAAACGCGGCCTTTCAGAGAGAGTGAGATCGCGTCGGCTCCACAAGTGACGTAGGTTAGCGGATACTCGCTGATATTTCTTCCGTCAGTCCCCTTGAGCTGAAATAACTCCCGAGATAAGTAAAGTGATCGACGATTTCCAACTGGTCGTTCATGAGCGTGAGGAGAGGTGTAGCCTCTTGCTAGTCTGGTAGTAAAATCTTACATCTTGATGGAGAAAATGTCATACAGAACTGCGTAACTGTCAATGCTAACTAACACAGGACGTTTTAAGGGTCCTGGGAGGAGTCGCAGAGTAAAACGATGTCTTCAGCATATTCCAATTCACGGAGTCGATCACCTGGGAAGCACACACCGGGAGCGCTGCTTAGGATTTTGTCTATTGCGAAATTAAAGAGGAAGGGCGAATCTGGGCACCCTTATCAAACTCTGCTTGTGATGGTAAATGCGATCATAGACCTTGACGCGGCCTGATGTGTTCGAGTAGACGGCTTTTAGAAGGTTTACATACTTCTCAGGCACATCGCTTCCTAACAGACAAGTCCAAAGAGATACTGTGTCAACTGAGTCAAACGCTGCACATATGTCCAAAAACAATGATGTCTACTGAGCGCTTGACATTGTCCGAGGATCTGGCGTAGCGTAAATATGTGATCAATGTAGCTCCGGCCAGAGCGGAATCCAGTTTGTTCTTCGCGAATATGACGCTCTATTGTCCAACTGAGCCTGTGAAGGATCAACGACGTTAACAGCTTGGATGCAACAGAGATGTGACTGTCCCTCGATAATTGGAGCAGTCGTGGCGAGGGCCCTTCATGAAAACAGTTACGACGTCCACAAAACTCCTTTCGGATGGGATGGACTCAGTATTCCAGATGGTTTGGAATAAGGAAGTTAGTTCTCGAACTAAGCTTGCACCACCGTCTTTGAACAGGGTCGGAGGGAGCTCATCTGGACAGTGTGATTTGTGACGTTTCAGAAGTCTGAGCTTTCGGAAGACTTCTTCCTCCGTAGGCTACGAAATGCCAACAGACTATGGAGTACTACAAACATCGGGAGATGGAGGTGACGATGACAATAGCCAAATGAATTGTTGATGAAAGTGCTCCGCCCAAGCCGACGTTGCAGATTGTGGATACATTCGCCATTGATTTCGCATATCGTTTCACTGACGCATTGCTTTTTGTTACCAGTGGCTCGGATTAGTGGAAAAAGTTTGTAAGCATTCCCGGAAGCAGAGGCTAGTTCCATCTC